ACCGGAGGAGGAAGAGGGGAAGAGGACGCCTCGCGAGATCACCCCGGCGCTGTTCGCTGCCGGTGTGACACTCTCAACGTGACACTCGATATTCCGACGGAGTTTTGCGAGCGATATCACGCAAGCCTGTGTGTGTTCGGATCCTTTCGCGAATCGAAGCCCCTCGCGATCGGNCGAGTAGCGGAGGATGGGGGGGGGGGATATATATCGGATTTAGTTTTTTGCCGGCGAATCGATCAGTTTGAACCCATCTGACCTCGGGAGAGGACGTGGAAAGGGTTGAAAGTAGGGGAAGCGGTGTGGGAGGGGGAGGAGCGGGCGAGAGAGTCTGAAAATAAGAAGATATAGATAAAGGAGCCGGGGCACGTTGGCCTAACAAGACTCAGGACTCAGGGGCTATTATCATAATTGTGGGCTGCAGGCAGCGGCTGTACCCACAAACCAGAATGCCTCTTGTCTCATCTACCTTCTTCTTCTTCTTTTTCTTCTCTTCTCTTCTCTCCTCTCTCTTCTTCATCGTCTCCTTCATCTTCGTCCTCCCCTCCTCCTCCCCGTTCCCTCATCTCTTTCTACGTTTCTTCCTCTTCTTCGCAACTTTTTGCCCCTCTCGTTCCCTCGTCGTGTTTCTCGCGCGTCTCTTTACCGGTCTTTTGCACGCGCTAAAGACAAATGGAGCGGCCCCGGCATTCAGCGCTTCCCCGTGTTCCGTATTTCCATCTAAATTAAAGGAACGATGATTAATTCACAGGCGATGCTGAATGCAGCGAGAGCCCGCACAGAGAAATCTCCGTGCGAGGCGGTGTTTTTGTGCGATACGCATGTGCGCGCGCGTTGCTGCTGTGACCTATTTCGCGGGATATATGTAATTAGTAAATGTTTCTCTATGCCTATATGGAAGCGGATACGAATAGTAGCCGCCAGCTACGATCAATATCGAAATTAAATCCCGCGATGCTTTCCGGCGGGTTTGAATAACCCGGCAGAATTTCGACGAAGTAAGAAATACGAGTAACTCTAATTACGCGGGATATGCTGTTTAGATAAAATTACAGATTGTTGCTCGCCTCCCGAAGGTTCGTTATTAAATTCAACTTTAAATAACGTGGCCCGCTCGACGTGGACCACCCCGAACCAGCCGAAACGCGAACAGCCGTGCTTCTGCTCTTCGGGCCGTCTCTCGTGCGCCTCTTTTTCTGACGTCGTCGGTATCAGTCACGGGAAAGTACCGGGCAATCGAGTCGGAGATCCTCGGATAATTGAAACAATCGAACGTAACTGTTACACAAGCTCCCCTCCCCCGGGGAGTCCACGCTGCAATTTCTATCGTTGACTTATCGACGAGCGACGTGCTTTCATTCGCGATACACTACTCAGAGTTTCGGCCGGTTGCCACTCGCTCGTTGCACAGCCAATTATCTCCCCGTTTCTTCCAATTACCGGCGAGCACCTCCTCTTGTCTGTGCGCGCCATTCTAACTGTCGCATTACTGTAAATATCTGCATAAAAGGATTACATATTACTATATTATATGTCAAGCGTTACACTGAAATGTTACCGGAGAGGACTTGTTATTAACGATTGGAACTTACTACGGGATATTTTAAATCGATATCCTACCCCTCTCTCTCTCTCTCTCTCTCTCTCTCTGTCGTCCGACTTGCTCGACTCCTGCTGTGTCTGCTCATTACGCAAACTTCCCCCGGTGGTGGAAGAGAAGAAGTCAAAGGCAAAGACCGGCGGATGTGGGACAGAGTATTCCATTTCCCGGCGAATTATGGTAAAAGCAAATACATATATATGCTTCGTCGAAAAAATCGTTATACTGTGCGTCGAGAGCGTCTTTTCTCCTTTTCTCTCTCTCTCTCTCTCTCTGTTTCCCGCGCACTCTTTCAGCAAGAGATGCCAGGGGCGTGTATGTTTGTTTAGCCTCGGTGTACCCTGTTATTAGGGACCGCTCTGCCCGTGCCCCCTCGAAAACCGTAGGGCCCGCGCCGAGATTTGAGCGCCGCGAGCCCGATCGTGCATCCCCCTGCCGAACCTCCGTCCGATCGGCTCTCCGCTTCGCTTTCATGCGTAAGAGGAGTTCTCGGGAGGAGAAGAGAACGCTGAGATAAATTCGGGAGGGGGATCCCTCGGCTCCTAGCGGACTCCTCGCCCTCTATCTAGATCTTGATTTAGATTCCACCGCGTTTTAATTTATTACCGACGATGGGGGCGACGATTACAGCGGAAACGGCGGACGCTCGGCCGCAGAGGATTCGCCAATTTTCGGTCTGTGTAAATAAAAGAAGAGCAAAGGGAGTAATGAGAGAAAAAGAGAGAGAGAGAGAGAGAGATAAAGGGCTTGAAAAAGCAACGCCCGTATACAACGGGAATATCGAGTTTTACGTTCGTTGGGCCGAGTTTCCGCGAACGATACGACACGTGCTGCTTTTGCCGGCCCATCGCCCAGGGAATTTAATTAACCAGCGCTGGGCACGGCTCTTGACACACTTTCGGCCCATTTCGTCAGTTTCGAAATGCATAGTTCGGCGTGCCTAACGCTTCAAATAAATCAAACGCTTAATGTAATTATACTTCTCATTAAACATACGTGCCTTATATATCTCAAGGCGAAATATAATCCCATCGAAATATAATCCTAGTTTTAGTATTGTAACAGACACATTTTTGGAAGTAACTAAATGCAAATACAGATGCTGGAAGAGAGATATAAGTAGAGAAATATAGATACACATATAAATTTGACGTTAATAATTAGAGATAGATTCATATACTATGAGAATAGATATACTTTATGAAGTACATCTAAATAAACGTTCACGTAACCGTGAAATAACCCGAAAGTAATATTTCATTTTTTAATGGCGCGCGGGAAACGCGCCAGTTACTAAATCGACGTGGATTTAACATGCATGAAAACATTACGAAAATAATGACACACGAGTCGTGTGTGTTAATTCGATACTGAAACCTTCAATCTAATCGAAGGTCGGCGACACGAGGAAATGTGAACATTTACTCGAGAGACTCTTTACCGTGCATTTACCTTTAAACTTATGTCCGTATCCGCCGTCTACTCGCGTTTCCCTCTCGGTGTCCAGTTACTTTCAAAAATGTGTCTGCCGCAACACCGATCCTAATCGACGGTAACCGATCCTTCCTCACGATTCTCCTTATAAAATTCGTCTTTACTTCGGAGATCGTATCGCCGAAGGGAACACGCGGCTGTATTTACCACGCGTATCTTCTTAACGTGACGTTACCGGCGTTACAATTTACACGATATCCGCGCGAGCGGCGAGCGAGCGAAAGAAGTCCGCACGGTTTTTTGCATGCGGGGTGATTCGTGGGATATAACGCGACTCCTCTTTCGCTCGATGCACAATGCATCCCTGATGACACGTCCTGCCTACGTCCGCAATTGAATACTGTCTGTTTGCGCGGATGGCACGTGACAATGCCCCAAGGCTCGCACGCGACCGCACCCGGTCGCCGTTATTTGTTTAATTTAAGGGTATTGTTGCGCGCGCGCCGTGTTTTCGTCGGCCGCTCGATTTATTTCGGCCACGGTCATTTCCCGCATTTTTAACGTGGGAGACGCCCGTCGCGCCCGGCGATCTCTCCCGGATAGACCGATCGGCCGGATAGAAAAAGAGAGAGAGAGAGAGAGAAATCGGGCGTTGGTTGTTTGCTTTCGATCTGGTCCGAATGGATAGAAACGCGAAGCGTCACCCCGACTGCTCTCATCGGGCCATTAATGAAACTTTTCACGTAGCCCTTTATCAGAGTGTCCCTTCCTCGCGATAAATAATTCTCGAGCTCATCGCCTGCATGTATTATGCATGTCATATTCGCAAAACTGGGTAGGCGCTCGCGCCCGTAAATTTTCGTTACGCCGATAACTTAATGGCCGGTTAAATATTTCTCGCAGCATTTTTGCATAATTGGATTTTCATAACTGGTTCGAGGGGCTCTTCTTTTTTACCCCCTCGTCCTCCCGTTCTAAACGGTGGGCGCGATTACGCCGGACGCGCGTTCCGGCGGAAAGCCGGAACGTACCGTGCGCGATCTTACAACGGCGGCCGGTACTCGGTAACGCCGGAACCTCGCATCTTCAGCGTCGGAGAGGCACCGTTGAAGATCCCACGGTTCGCAGGTAAGTTTCCGTGGGCCCATCGGGCCCACGGGAGCAAATGGTAGGACGACATGACCGATCGTCGATGATGATCGGGTCTACGGTATCACGTTGACGTTATTGCTTTACACAGTAAAAAAGATTTGCCACTCGAAATCGGTCCTCGTTCAACAATTTTCCTGCTAAATTTCTCACACATCCGTGCGCTGATTTAACGTATTGTGTTATTCCGACATATTTTATGCTGAATCGATATTCATGTGTAAGCATTAAAATAACACATTTTATGTTTCAGTGCCGATTAATAATATATTAATTTTGCGTTAATTTCTGACATATTCGCGTTACTTTTCAATATATTCGCCTTGCGTTAAATTAACACGAAAATGTGCGACATGTGAAGCGTGTTAAATTTAACACGGAATTTTTTACCGTTGCTAAACTATTGTTTAACAATTCTTAGACGATGTTACAACGCTACGAGTTCATCAATACGAGCATATAATTCACAAGTTGTTACACCGTAATAAAAACGTTTACTAAAATAATTCGCAAAATTTCCAAAGCTAATTTTAGAAGTCAACACAAATAAGTTATTATCGTGTCAGTCTTAATTATAATACTTGTAATAAATAAATAAATAAATATATATAGTGTACGATTAACGAAGCAAATTGACGAAGACTAATTTACATATAAAAAATAAATACACAATACAAATATATCCAATGAAACACAAAAAGTTATAAATATACATACATATTGGAGGTTTTATCTTAGAACTTTACTCACGGATGTGTGTGTGTGTGTGTGTGTGTGTGTATGCGTGTGAACGGTTTCTCTGAAAAATTTCACTCTAAACGACGATCAAAATTTCCCGTGCATTTTCACGTTTCTAAAATCACAGTCACGACAAACTACAACTTGAAATATTTAACATTGCGGCTACATGTTGCTCGCATATGTAGCCGTGTTTTCACTTCGAATGCAATATTAATTGATAAATATTTGCATGCATGTCACGTTAATTCGAACACTCGATGTTGATTATGAAATCGTAATGGTTGCATAATCACGATTGAAACCGCCGCTCGTGTTGTAGCAACCTGCGGATGTTCCAATCAGCGAGGCTCGTATACGAGACCGTACCGCAAAAGATACACATTTTCCCCGATATGAACATATGTTTCCATGAGAGATGTCTTAGACCATCCTTAATACGAATCTGGGCAATTTTTCTGATCCGTGCGAATAAAGTACGCCCTACTGATGTTGTTCTTATCGATAACTTGGTACGCCTTCTCCAATACTGCGATCGGCGGCTTTGGTTCCCGCGTCAGGATCCACACGTTCCGTATGCTGCGAACAGAATGCATTGTAATTTTGAAGATTGCGACACACAGCTTCTTGAGTAACTTCTATCTTTAAAAGAGTTCCGCAGGCGAGAAATATACCGTTCGTAAGTTTCGGAAAGGATCCAATAACTTACTGGGAAATAAAGGACGACGGGTAAAATGGGTCGATTGTGGAAAATGTAACGTAAATTATATATGTAATCTTAGGTTTTTCTTAGATCACTGAGTACGATGGCAGTATTTTTATCCACCTGAACCCGCGGAAAAGTGGTCAAGATTCGCTTCAAAAGGATCGAAATAAGTCACTTTTAATAGTAATTCGGTTAGCGACGACTTTCTTTTTCAGCCAAAATCAACCCATTTTATCCATCGTCCTCTTTACTTATTTAGTATCATAATAAAATTAGTGCCACAATAAAACAATAGTACGATAATCTACTATTATAGTTTATTATCATAATAAAATATAACTAATATGCTATGCTTATAAAAATATAGACAGCGATCCATATCGTTTAACTTTTGTAAAACTTCGAAATTCCAATTAATTAATACTTGTCCTCTTTTTCCCAAGTTTCTCCACAAAATCAACTCACTTGAACACCCCAAGATTCGTACAGCTCCATACTACGGCGTACGACTTGTAGTCCGAGTCCAGGACCCAATAAGGTGCATCGATCGGTAGCGGCAAGGATGGAAAAGTGACGGTCAATTTCGGGTCATCGGATCTGCCAATTAACCTTGCAATGCCCTCAATACTCGATGCGACTCCGGTTCTGAGGATGAGAACAAAGTTTCGAGATGAATCATTGCTGGCAGAGATGGCGTCTCGTTTTCATTTAGCATTCGCTATTAATTAAATACAATTATCGAACGCATACTATACTCACAGCGCGGAGATCTGCTTGTTGAGGATCTTTATCGAGCCGTTTTCACTCATATTGTAAGTAGCCGTCACGCATTTTCCACCAAACTCAAACAATGCAAAGTACCTCTCGACTTCGTACCATTTGCCCGAATACTAAAGAAATATACAATAAAATAAATATATTCTTTGATTCCTTTATATTTTAAATATATAAATATATTACGGTTAGTTTTCATTGAATTATTAAATCAAATTTAATGAAATTATTAATTAGTACGAAACTGATTTTTTTACGACTCAGGTCTTCTTAATTATCGTATATAAAATGTATTTATAAGTTAGAATATCCGTTCTTAGACTAATTATCGTAACTATTATCTCCTCTGAGAACCTTTCAATCTATATCTTTCTAAGCTATGTATAATAAATTAGATAAGCACACAGTCGAGATAAAAATGGCTGCAAGTGTAGCTGTATAATATATAACACGGCGTATTGAATATTTCGTACTGTTCGTATGATTGTATCGCCTCGATACTCACCCTCTCGATCTCGAAATTTGGCATCGTTTCCAAATTCGGGCATATTCCTAAGAATGGCACTTGGGCCATCGCTGCGCTCGCGACGACCAGGGTCACAAGTATTCGCAACATCTCGTCTTCTGCGGAGGAACGGTAAAATTATTCAAATTTCGTCTATACGTTAATCAATGAGGGATAATTATAATATCAATTTTCTCGAGTTCCGTCGTAAGGAAAGTTCGAGTCCCGTCGGTTTTCAGACCAGACAATCCTTCGAGAATGATATTTCGTCGCGCTGCTTCCGCGCCTTTAGAATGCACCGTTATTCGCGCGAACTTTGCACAGCGAGAAAATAAAGAAAGCCGGCGCGCGCATTCTTTTATATATCGCGTTATCGCTCACTTAGAATGACGGTATCTAAAATTACGCAACTATAATGGAGGATATCTGACACGTACTGGCACAACGGCTAACCTGTTGGATTGGTTTTTATCGTTAACCTTGCGCAATCTTTTTTTAGCCGATCACTCACAATTATCGCCGCATAATAAAAAACGGTAGTGACGTTTCATTTTTTTTTCTTTTTAACTACTGCGTTGTCTTGACATGTGCGAGCTATCGCACGAGCAATTTGACATTCTAACGTCGAGTTTCTCTTTATGCGCTGAGAAAAAGATCTTTTCAAATTTTATCACTGACATGCTCCAAAAAAACAACGAATGTTTCGATTAATAAGTACGATTATTACGACTTTTCAACGAATACGTATCTTTATCTGAAATAAAAAAATTTGCTTGAAACGACCGATGATTTTCTTACAAAGAAAATGTTTGTTTCCTTTTATTGCGACCAAATAATATTGTATTTGGATGAAGGATATTATTTCGAATAGTAGCGTTCGTTTCTGTGTAAACAAAAGAGTTTTCTTGAATGAGACGAGACAATTTTCACTCAAACAAATAATACACGTTGTTTCTACAAAACAAATTTCAGTCAAATAAGTAGAAATACTAAATCTGAAGAAACCTTTTTCTCTGTGCGACACGAGATAATAATATTGCGAGCGATCAATTCAACGACTCCCTGATAACCTGGAAATTATTTCAACACGATCGATCCGATTTCTAATTTTTCCGCGTTTTCTATTCCTTCTTGGCGAAGTAATTCAATTCGGCCCGATTTACCGAGCGAGAACTCGATCGAGAATAGACGGGACGCGCGATAAAAGGGACGGATAAATTGGATGCAATGAATGACCCTGCAATTTTAATCTAACCGCTCACCTGGTGGCCTCTATCGTGTCGTGTGTATCCGGGGAAGAGATACGCTCCGAATATCGATTTGCCGGAAGAGTTGACACCGTCAGAACTTCTCACGCGACGAACTGTTCGCAGGTGACTGCGCTTCCTACTCTTTCGTTCGCTTCGTGTTCGCGGAGACGGACCCGTGAAGGCTGACTGGATGCGTTTGGCAGAGTTCTGTCAGTTAGTGGGTCAGTAACGGTACGCCCGGGGTTCAAGAAACCCGTCTCTCGAATTTACCATTGACCAATAGATGATCGACGGTTCCGACGGCACGTGAATCGAAATCGGGCACGATGGACCACTTCCGGACGATTGTGCGATCGCGTTCAGCGTGGATCTCGCGATAATCGGCGATAAAAAGCCGAGGTTGCTGAATATAAACAGTCGCACGGAACGAATGTCTGACAAATGATGAGTTCGTTAATGTTGCATGTGGTTTATTCAAAATAAAAAGTGGCTGAGAACGTGTGTCGGCTTTAATGAGGTGAATAAACGTTCGCAATTAACATCATCAATGCCTGTGTTTCGTAATCACTCGAGGATACTCGTGAATGTAATACCTATACGCTCCATGAATAGACGAATTAATTGCGAGTAACTCAATCACTTTTTCTGTTAAATGAGATATAAGTGGGACGATTTAAAAATGCACCGAAGGAAAATAGTAACGCTCGGGAAATATTCCCTCGCATTATTTCCGAAGGTTACATATTCATGTATTATATTGCATATTATATATTCGTTATAAATATTCAGGTTCTCAAGTCAAATATTCTCACGTCATAAATTTTAAAGGAAACACTCGGGCATTCAAATATTTAAAATTCTGCTTCTCGCAAGTTATTTTGTATATTTAAGATGCAGTAAAAATTTTATGCGAAGCTATTCAGCAACAGTTCGCCCCTTTCTATTTGACGAACTTTACGTTTAACGATAATGAAAACAGACTTCTACATTCGAGCTTAAATTGAATAATTATTTGCGCTTGACTTCAAATCAATTGATTACATACATTTAAGTAATAGTTAAAAGAACGACGTACTTATTATTTATCATCGAGTCAGAAAGATTAAGCTACTCGTAAAGCGAGAAAAATTATACGACCGTTACGTGACCCGCTTATATTTGTTTATTAAAGAAGTCGTCCTGTGACACATTTACTGGCTTTACGTCACGGTACGGAAAAGACTTTCGAGAGCTCGAGAAAACGACTTTTCTCTCGTATAACATATTCATGTAGTCTACGAGTTTCCCGTGCGATAATTCGTGACGACTAAAGCTTTTACGCGGACGAGGACACGGCTGAATGAAATCTCTGTTAATTAAACGTCGACGATCCACGTCCGAGCGTTTATTATTTTATAATAATTGCATTTCAAACTGCCCGGTAAATCAGATTTACTCGCGCGCCACTGACGCAGCGAGGCGGTTTATTAAGAAAAACGACTGAGTTTCGTTAAAACAGTTTTTCTATAACAATTTATTCATCTTCGTTTTTTTACATGTTTTTCTCTTTTTACATTACGTAAGCCTATGTAACAAAGCGCCATGCTGATCTTACATCCTCGAGCAACGACATGCCTGTGGGGGCTTCATAATGACTTTAAGCACTGAGAAAAAGATCTCTTCGAATTTAATAGATTTTATTGCATCCAAACAAATTTCATCGCTGGCATGCACCAAAGAAACTAATGCTTCAATTAATAAGTACGATCGTTAGACTTTTCGACGGAAATATGTATCTTTGTCTTAAGTAAAAAATTTGTTCGAAACGCGAAAGATAATTTCCTTATAAAGAAATTATTTGTCCCGTTTCACATATTTATTGTAACCAGATGATATTTTATTTGATTAAGAGATATTACTTCGAATAACAGCGTTGTTCCTGCTGAATAATAGAGTCTCCTTGAATGAATCGATAGAATTTTTACTCAAACAAACAATATTTAATACGTAAGTATATGTTGTTTCTATGAAACGAATTTTAGATGTCAAATAAATAGAAACACTAAATCTGAAGAAATCTTTTTCTCTGCGGTACTTAAGCGAGACTGGCTCTAAATGCGGAAACCGCGCTACGAGAGACGCCTAAAGCGGGGTTTAATAAAGAATTTGGAGCGGTAACGTTTAGAAAATTGACCGATCACAATTGATTTTTCTTCTATAATCCGACTGTGATTGGTCAATTTCTTAAGTCTTATGCTTTAAACTCTGCGGACCTCGCTTGAGACGTCGATAATCTCCCCATGGATATGTCCTCGCAAGCGCCAGTTAAGAGACCACACGTTCGCCGAATACGACATATCTCTAAGCAGTCTTTTCCGTCTCCTTCGCCTGCTCGTTCCGCTCCTCCTCCTTCGCGCTCTCCACGGCTTTCTCCTCTTTAACTTCGACGATGATCATCTTATCCCCGGCGTCGTCGCTCTCCTTGATCGCCTCGGCTATCTTCAGGATCCGCTCGGGAACGGTTTCCACGGCGAGCGGCTGCGCGATTATCTCCGAGATGTCGGAGGTCGCCTTCTCATCCGAGGTATCGACCTCCGCCAGGAGCTTCGTCTCGTTCTCGACGTCCTCCAGGGTAATGATCGATCTGGAGCTAACGTTTCCCTCATCCGCCGCCGGCTCCTCCGCAACCGGCTTCTCAGCAGCCGGCTTCTTCGGCGGCGGCGTCTCCAGGCTCGCGCAGTCCGCCTGATCGGTCTTCACGAAGAACGTCTTCGAGATCTTGTACTTGTCGAGGACACCGTAAGCCTGCGACCGGAGGAGGAATCATGCCGGTTAGTTTGAGAAAAACAGCCGGGCGATCGTTGCTGACGACGAGAAGCGAAAAACTATTCAATGCGTTTTGCTCGATGATTAAAGTGAATGTCCCAAGTAGCGACAATCGCATTTATTGAGTCAAGCAATCTCCACATTCATCCTAAAAATGTACTTAAAAAATTTCATATATCTCCAAATATATTATCGATAATAATAAGTTTTGAATAAAATTAAAATAATATATGATGGAATATCATAATTATAAGCATATTGCTAACGACGTGACATTTCGAACAGTTACTCGCCGATATCTTAGAAGTTGGCCGTTAACATAATATTTTTGGTAATTTTTGGAGCTATTCTTCACCTTCAAGCAATTGAAATCGTACTGTCAAAGTCGAGGAAAGATTGGGAATATTTTGCAAGCAAAAAAAGCAACAAAGTCCGTGTTTCTTGTAATTAATACATGCCACTAATCGGTACTGGGATATTTATTTGTCTTCATTCCCGACTACCTAAATAACTATGATATAAAATGATATAAACATGCCTATGCTTAAAGAGAAAAATGCGAGTTGTAAAATTTCTTCGTTATAAAATCAAAGAATAATATCAAGATAATAACTTACTCCTCCAAAATTCAGCAAATAATTAAACAAATATGAGTTCTCAGCCTGTAAACTGCCACAAGTCAGTAATAAAGACGTCTATGGTTCTGTACAAATTTGTAATATTCGAATGATTCCTGTCAATAATAGAATCCGTACGTTCGTCATCTCTCGGTGACATGGATATAAATATGTCACACAAATGGGAACAAAATCAAAGTTACATAGTCACTAAATAGTTCTTCCGTCACTTTCGAGCGTATATTATAGATTAATGAAAATCTTGTCAAAACTTAAAAAATCGAATATAATTCGAATCCGAAATATTTCAACTTTCGAGCAAAATCAATGTTACGTACGTATCGCGTGTGTTAGAACAATTTATTAATTTATCTTCAAGATGAGGTTACCTTTTGGAGCACCTCGCCGGACGGTATTCGCTCCCTCGTCATGACCCAGGCATTTTGCGCGTGGACCGGCCCGATGCCTTGACAGCTCCAGAGAACGGCGTACGAGTCGTAGTCCGTCTCGAGTACCGAGTACTTGGTTTCGGGGGTCAGCGGGATTGTGGTGTACTTAACATGGAGTTTGCCCTCATCGGCTTTGGATGCCGCCGGCCTGACTTCACCCTCCAGTATCCTCTTGATGCCGGTGCTAAAGATCGGAAGGCATTATTAATGAGTATCCCTGCCGGTGTAACCGTCAGCTCCTCTCGGACGAACTTATCGAACGGATTAGACACGCTACTCGTGTACTCACAAACGATTCGTCACTTGATTGCTCACACGGTACTTCCCGTCGGCGCCTTTGGTGTAATTCGTCATGACACATCGGGACACCACCTCGCTCAGTTGGAAGTATCTCTCGGCCTCGTACCAAGTACCCATGAACTGCGGCAATATCGAGAACGGGTTTATTTTAATCGTCGCTTTGTCCTTTCGAACATAGCCGGTGATGTCGCCGGTACCGATATATAACCGGACGGAACAATTATGTAATCATAATGAGAGCATATCACTTATACGACTTTACATCCGCTTGATAATCGCAGATGTCGCGACAATCACCCGGGAGAAAATAATTGTATACGATAATATAGAATTATATAAAATCATATATGAATTTTGCTCACACGCGTGGTTACATGTATGATTATATAGAGTCGCTGGCCATATTATTAGACGCAGTTTGATTCTTCAATGGAATACAGGTTAGGAGGAGGAGGAAAGCTGCTAATTTTATATTAACTCGATTAGAATAATTTCTGGTGTCAACCAGCGCTTTTACCTCCGCAACCTTCTGAGGTGTCAAATCGCTTGTTCCGTCCATAATTTTTGCGATCAATATTAATATTTTTCGCGCGAAAATTTACTTTCTCGAGTTAGTAAGCGAGAAATTTGAAGTTTCAAGTCACAAATAAACAAAAATAAATATTATAAAGATGGTCCTCGGAAGTCAATGAAATGTAATGTATCAGAAGAAGAACTATGTCTATACGAAAAGAAAAAACACAATGTTACGTCACTTAATTAAATATCGATATCACGTGCTCAGAAGCGCAAGTAGCCGGGAAGCATTTATACTTCGACTGTATTTGTATGTAATTGGTTTTTTCCTCCCCAGGGGAAACGTAATGTATCAAGCGGCGTAAGTGCGCGTGATTAAACGCGATAAAATAAGATCGGATCGACGCGGTGAAACCGTAATGGGCCAATCGAGAGAGCGATACGTACCCTGTTCATGTCGAAGTTCGCCATAGGCACGTATTCCGGGCAGAAGCCCAAATTAGGGATCTGCGCGCTGGCCCAGGCCAAGGCCGAGAGTGCTAGGACGGTCTTCCCGAACATGTCTGAGGACGATCTGCCTTGAGTGTCGGCCGAGGCTCCGACCTTATATATATATTAAGCAGGGGCATTGACCGGACGGTCTTACCCCCCTCCCCTTCCCCTGTGTTACCCACGTGTTGGTACTCTTACGGTACTCTCCGTGGCCGGAAAACCCGGCCGTGCACACCTGCTGGCCATTGGTCAATGATGCGCCTACGAATCTCTTGGCGAGTCCGCCAAAGACGACGACGACGCGACGAGCAAGAACCAGAAATGCAAGGCTCCATTATGCAACTTCTGGACAAACGGTACTTCCAGATTGGAGACGCCGATCCCTTCGGGGACGCCGGCGGAGCGAGGCTACTACTTACGTGGAATGCCGGCGATCCCTCGAGTCGAATGCGAGGAGTTAACGGATTGGGCGTGAATTCTAATTTCTCGCGCGCGTGTGTGCGTGTCGTTCACGTCGCGTTAATTAGGAACGATTATGAGAAAGCGACCGGGCCGGCGCCTCTCTCGCGAGAGCCCGTACTCGATGCCTTTTGTGCGCGTCGAGCCGCGCGTTGCATTATGTATTTACTACTTATACTTATTCAGGCATAATTACACTTATTTGCGTTTATGTTTCGCGTTTGATTGTCAAGTGTCAGTCAGCTATTTATATTCCTTTGATTTGATTCCTCAGTCATCCGTACGCCACGTATCTTGCATCGGATCCAATTTCATGTCTGTTCATCCGCGATTAGTTTTTCACGCTTATACTTATTTCATTATAATTGGAGAGGAAAAGGGTAGGATTATGTCTCCCCAACGGGACAATTTGTCGCACGGAGGGGATAATTTTGCAGCGAAACGTCAACGTTGCGATGAAATTCGGTCGGCGCGACCGAATTACTCCGCTCTATCCATGCGTCCAGCAAATAGCAATTAAAACCCTCGACGAATCTTTCTGCTGTCCGAGCAGATTTTTCGCGCTGTTCATTAACAAACAATCCGCCGTTCCGGCGACATTTTTCTTCTCTCGCGTGCGCGTGCATCGCGGATTCCCGCACAGAGCGAAGTTCTCCATCTCAGGGCGACGGTCAATCGTGAGACTCGCCAGGCGACGCGGCGTGTCACTCCTCTTCCGCGGTCATTCATAGAGCCGGTCATTCCAGCGGCCTCCTCGGTCCATACGCGGTATTTACGTTGCGGGACAACTATGATCGCGGCGCAGGTTCCTCTCCGGGCAAACAAAGCGCGCGGGGTACTCGTGTTATCTCCGTCCGATGTGTAATTATGCAATCGGCACCGTCTCGCACCGGCCGGACTCGCACACGGACTCGGCACACACCCGTCTGCCGCTGGAACGTAGCCCACTAGTAACGGGTCACGTCTCGTGCCTTTTTTCTTCCTTTCTTTCTTTCTTTTTTTCTTTGTGCAAAACCGAAGTCTTCGGACCGTTAGCCGACGACGACGGTGCGCCTCTCTTCGGGAATTCTTTGGGGATCCCGGCGAACCGCTACACGCGTTTAGCGAGAACGACAATTAGCCGATCCGCGAGTCGTCCGGCCTTCTCGATCCCGCGTCCTGGTTCCCAGGGATGATGGAAGCCGAACTGGCCGGACGTGCGTGTAGCGGCACGTCGTTGCTCTCGGCATATTTTGTCGGGTCGTGATTCAAGTTTTTCTATTGAGAAAGAGAGGAGTCGTTAATGCGACGTACGAAATGTAACTTTGCAGCTTTAAAGCGGGAGGAATGAAGCTTCACGGCCGTGGAACATTTATAGTTTCGTCTCCAAGTTACCCGACGGCATACTTGCGATTTCACTTCACGGTATTACGAATAAGTGCATCAGAAATCCGATTATTGCACGTGAAGAAATCTCGGAAGGAAGTCTTGCGAATAAATTGAAGGCGGTTTGTTATCTTCCGCTGCAACCAGAGCTTACGGAAAATCGGTAAGACTGGTTATAAGTATTCAAATTGAAAAATGCAATTTTCTTAGAAAATTGTGCATATACAGGGTGTTACAGATCAACGCGGTTAAAGCTCGTGAGGGCGTAGAACGGATCGAGGTGAACGAAAAAGTACCATTCTGTTTCGCGATATTCGCGATAGTTAATGAGGAATTAATTAATCTGAATGAGCTAATGAGCACAGGAATGAGCTGGCCGTGCACAGGAAACAGTAGGCCGGACTTTGTATAAAGAAAAATGGCTTATTTCTAAAGATCTCCTAAAAACGATATATATATATATACATATATATATATAAGGTGTTTCAGCATAAGAACTTAAATATTTTGAAGGCCTAAATATGGAAACCTTAGAAAACCTTGAAAAAATCGAAAAAGTTGATCGAAAAAAAATTTCCTTCCACGATATTCCTCCGTCAAAATCATTCAAAAATTGTGCTTTAAACATTTCTTATATATTTCTTATACATTTCATTAAAAATAAAAGAGATATTCAGGTGATCTCCTTATGCTGAGACACCCTGTATATATATATATATATATATATAAGTATAATTATATAAACCATGACAGTTTCTGAGGGAGTGAGAGAAGGAAATCGATAATACACATTTCGTCGACTGCGCTCGCTTCCGTTTATCTCTTCGTACACAGTTTCCAACTGAATTAATTTATTTCTCGTAAACCTATGAACACTAAGAAAGCGCGCGGAGCTCGCGCCCCGCTTGGAAGATGCTTAATATCTACAAAGTTTTCACCCGGATGCCTAGGTGAGAAAAAGAAGACGCCATCTTCGTGGAACCCACAACGAGAGGCGGCGGTCGTGGAAAAAGTAAATCAACGCCTCCGTTGTACCCGCAAAATTACCCCGATTATTATTCTTCGCGTACGTTAAAACCTCTCGATCCAAATTGTCATTCGGCTAATGTTCAATTACGTCCGATATGCAAGGAAGCTCCCGAAAATACGACATCGAATAATATCGTACCAAAGTGAGAGTGTATCGTCTTCTTTCACATTCGCGATCCGCTCGGCCGGTCGAAAGCGAAATTCGAGATCTTTGTTCTTTTTCCTCGCCCGAGAGGGACACCCGGGTGCTCGTGCATGTGCTAAACGTAATTAATTAACAATAGATTAATCTGTAATGCGTAATCCTAGTGCGCTTACGGCTCGAGAAGAGGAGAGACGAGATTGGAGTCGGGAGCGTGTGATGAGGGCTGGGAGGGCAGAGGAAAATGGTGACAAAAGCTGATCGCTTAAATTACTTAGGCGACTCGCAAAATCATTCTTCGCCGGTTTCCTGCCGTTTTCTCTTCCTTTTTTTCTCTTCTTCTTCTTCTTTCTCACGGCTGCAAGCTTCTTCCTGGCCACGTCGAGAGCCACGAGTCGCGCTCGTACCATTAACGCCGCGGCGTCGCACGCTAAACAATAATTACTTTAGCTTTATTATCATTTAGTATCACATTACGTTCATTGTTTTGTGCTGGCCGTTTTTGCCTGGCTTTGCGAGAGCGCACACCATCCCTCCAACCTCTCTTTCTGCTCCGTTCTTCTGTCCGCCTCCCCGTCACGGCGTTACTCCGAACGACGCAACGGGAGAAAGTGAAGAAGAGAGAAGACCTTCCAAACCCGATTTTTATTTTCCACCCCGAGTGATCGCGATCGCGAGGACGAGCGGTAACGCGGGAATAACAGAGAGAGAGATAGAGATAGAGAGAGAGAGAGAGAGAGAGCACCGATTGGTCGTTTTAACATTCATTTTCCTTCACGCTTCATTTGACGCATGTACGATGTTCATCGAGACCGGAAAAGCAAATCGTTGAAAAAATGTATACCGTCTTTCTTTTGCTTACGCGACTTACATTTTTTTTTTTCTTTTTCCACGAGATTCGCGCGACAGATTTAAGCTAATTAATGTACACCGTCGAACGTTTACCTTACCTCCCTTCGTTTATTTCTCCCCGATACGATCGGTATAATAGTTAAGTAATACGTTAAGATCGTCATATCTTCGAAGTACAATTCGAAGTACAGTCGCCGTGTAGAACTTAGTAACGAGAATGAAGGGGACCGTGCGAAATGTCGCACGTGTTGGTTGAAAAATATTAAAATTGCATATCGTTCGCTCGATTAACCGCAGATTTTCTTTTCCGCAACTTCGCAGATTTTCTTTTCCTCCTCTCCTTTCCTTCCCTTTCGTATAAAATGTCTTTGGTGTGAACGTAACGAGACTAACGCATCCCCGGAGCGTACATATCATTTTCTAAATTCTGTACAATCTCCCGCTCATTTTGCTCATTCGCAACCGTTCCCTCCCGAAACATTTCGTCGATAAGTGCGTGAATTCCAATCCCTCCCCCCTCCCCCACCCCTCCCGTCGTTTCTTCTTTACCTTCTTAAACATTCGAGCGTCGTCGAGGTGGTTTTCATACTATTAATTAAGGAGCAAAAAAGAGGTCGAGGTCATTCAAGGCACCTTAGGTAACATAATGCCTATTTAGAAGTGAAAATAGAACATGACGTCCTGCGCCAAACAAAAGTGAAATTAAAGGAAAGAAAGCTACTATAGATACAACAACCTAACTTAGCCTTAGCGAAACTTGAGAAAATTGAATCGGAGACAAATCCTTAAAGACTTCCTAACGTGAATTAATTAATCGATATTCTTCCGCATTTTTTTGTTTTCTAAGCGAGCTCTCTCGTATCGTCATCTTAAACGCCTATGTTCTCTTAAGCCTATGAACACATGAAATCACTGCCCAATCGACCAATTTGGACCCATTTTGACAAGGCACTCGAGTCGCTGAGTTATATCGAAGGGTGTACCGAGAATGGGAGTATGTCGGGACGGCTGGATGACGGAGAAAGAAGAGGACGTGGCGTCGTGTGTGTGCATGTGTGTGTGTGTGTGAGGGGAGGAGGGATGGAAGACGGAATTTTACAAAATAGAACATTAACAACGTTGACATTTACTAGACAACAAGTCGCAATCAACAATTTATAAAATCGTCTAAGCGCACCGATAATGCTCTCTTCCGTCGTGTGTGTATGTGTGTGTGTGTGTGTGTGTGTTTAGCGTTTCGAGATAACTCTTCTTCATTTCAGCGTCCCGATCGAATACTTCCATGCTGTTCCGCGATCGAAACGTTCGGCTCTCGCTGTGGCGAGCAGTTAGTTCGTAGAGGCGATTGGAGGGCAGGACACCTAAGATCTACCTAAGACAGAAAATCGGTGGAAAGTCGGTTGGTCCCTTTGCAATAGCGTGAAATAAATAAATTCTAATCCGTTCGCTTCGCGATTTCTTCTCTCCTATTTAACATTATTTACAGTTGTGCGTGCATATATGTGTGTATGTGTGTGTGTGTGTGTGTGCGTGTGTCTGTGTGTGTGTGTGAGATTAGTCGTACGCGCTGAGGTAAACGGGACGTCTCGCCGGATGTCGCCACGTGTCGCGATTAAAATAAAATAACAACAAACAAAACGCAAACGAAAAGAGAGAGAAATCGTCGCCGTCGGGACGCGTGACGATAATTGACTCTCCGTACGTTCATTGTCCTCCTTGTACTATTCCAAGATTACGCCCGACGATCGCGCACTTAGCTCGTCACAGCTTGCGGCTTTTTCTTTCCACGTCGGGCATCGATCAAAAAGCGCTTCTTAACGATCGCTACCGTTTGTTTGTGTGATTAAAAAAACACTCCCGGCGAAGTCGTCGGCGAACGACGACCGCGACGGTGGAAGATTTCGTGAGGATTTCCGTGTGTTTCCAGATCCACCCCCGGACGTTGTTATTTTCCAAGCAAAGGCCGCGATCTCCGGTGCTGTTCGCCGAAGTTTATCCCCGAAGAAACCCAACGGGAAGCCTCCGACGTGCCACCCCCGGTGCACGCTCGTGCGTTTTCCCCCTGATTTCGGGATTGCGTGTGCACTGATGAAAATCTAGCGATTGAGAAAGAACGCACATTCCTTCGTAAGACCACCGGCAACCTCGTCGTGTGCCTCGCGTGTGTGTGCTTCTTGCAACTTTCGCTCGTACGGTTCGCGTAAAGGCGGCATTCGCTCGATCAGACGAACGTCCGAGACGAATTGTAAATCTCCTTCGGACCGCATTCAGACGGGATCGACTTCGGAATAACCGCGTGTAAGCCGGAGAATCGGGTGTTCCTCGCTCGCAGAAACTCGCTGTACTTCCTTCGCAGTAAAGGCACACATTGTTCGTTATGCGGACCGATGTGACGAGAATACCGTAGAGAAATTCCAACAACTTACGGAAGGTGAACCGCAGAAGTGACTACAGCCAGAACGCACGCGTTATACGATAAGATACCGAATGCGTTCCGAAGTTGTTTGTTTTCTTTCTCTCCGAGCCGAGTATAAATTTCTTTATTTTCGTTTTTATACGTATCTCTTCTATAAATAAATTCCAACAAACGTGTCTTTAGAAAATATCACTTCATCGGTGGTTCAGCGATAGAATGCGAATTGGAAATACAAATCTCCGTGTCGGGTACGGACTCATTCGTACATTGCGAAACCCTCGTCGGAGAAAGAGGTTCCGTAATCTCCCACTGATTCCATATATAAGAGACTCTTTCAGAGTGGTCCGAATAGAAGGTCCGAGTATCCCGAGCACGATCCGATCGACGGTCATCCGGGGACTTGGTGAAATCCCGCCCGGGGACCCGTCACATCGCGCTCGCGGGGTACTCCTCAGCACCGGCCGGCCTTTGATCCTGTCGCTAGTCGCGTATATGTAGATTCTTGCTGAGCAGCATGTTGTTATGCGGCCCGGACAGATGCCTGATGAGTTCCTGCAGACTGTCGAAGCTCAACGAGCAGAAACAGCACGTGAAGGTGTTATCCGGCGCGGATATCCGACTCCTGTGAACCGAGCAAAGGTGCTTCAGCAGGTGCGCCTTCTGCTTAAACATAGCGACGCAAATTCGACACGCGAACGGCTTCTCGCCCGTGTGCACTCTCAGGTGAGTCTTGAGGTTCCACGACATGCCGAACTGCTTGCCGCAATAGTTGCACCGGTAATCTCGGACGGGAGTCGACTTCGGCGGGTCTTCCGTGGCCGGCGGCGGCGGGGCTCTGCTGGGTGGTAGAGTCCAAGCGCCCCAGGGTGGCTCGAGGGCAGCCGCTGACGCTGGATCGGCGCTCGGCGGCCGATGCGACGCTCCTGGAGGTGTCACTGACCTATCCTGCTGCAACCACCAATAACACGGCTTATGGGTTAACGAGGAGAGAGACGGATCGATAAATAACGCGATGCTCTCTACTCCGGTGAGCAGATGATCTCGAGATTTTCAGGGAAACGAAATGCCTCCATAGGGACTGCCGGGAAACGGGACGGTGATACGTGAATGGGAGACGAAAAGGAACTTAAAGACGTCTTATATCCCGATTTTGGACATTGTGCAAGTGTTGAGGATATTTATTGTGCGTGTGTGTGTGTGTGTGTGTGGAAATATGAATTGATCATCGAATGTAGGTTACCAGGTACGGTGGTGCCGAAACACTCAAGGGATGTGGCGCTTGCAGTCTCCTCGGCGTTTCGAATCCGGGATTAAAGGGTACGAATGCGGGGTTTTGCGCGGGAGCGTTGTGGAATCCCGGCCTTCGCTTCCGATGAGGCGTCACCACGTACGCCTCCGCAGGTGGGATTGGTAGTTCTTCGGCCTGCGGCTTCCCAGGCTCTAAACCTAACGCGAGCCGTGCCGCCAGCTGTCTTCTCCTTTCTTCAACCTCCTCGAGAGATTCTCGCCTTTCGAGTAACTGCTTCTCCGACCTGCAAGCGAGCCACTCTGAAGATCCTTTCCCAATCGTAATCCTCGCGGATGCAAAGCATCGCGAGATTACTACACCGCATACACTCATTTTGCGATCATTATAATTGCACAACGCGAATTTTATTACACACCGATCAAAGTGCCAGATTCAAGTAAATAATCCCTCCAATATTCCTTCACAGATTTCTACTTGGATTAAAGTAAACGTGTCCCGGTGGATCGAGTAAATATTTCGCTCGGGTGATTTGAGAGATATTTAACTCGAATCGAGTGAATATTGCTTGGCCCGAAAATTTGCTAAGGAGTATTGGAGTAATTATCGACTTGAATTAAGCACTTCTCCTCAGTTTCTCACCTGTGCACTATGTCGTGCGAGCTCTCACTCGTGGTAGAAGCGCCGGAATTCAGGCTCAGATTAACAGGATCGGAGCTATCCCTTCTTCTAGGCGGTTCTATGTTACTTTCCCTGTTATCGGTAGCGTCGCTACCCATACCTTCCACGTCCACTTCCGGCTCCTCTTCGCAGTCCTCCGTCTTGATGAGAACCGAGCAACAGTCCGCGGGATTATTGGACTGTCTAAAAGTTTACGATCTAATAAATCCTCGAGTTTGCCGTTGGGCTTCCTCGCTAACTAATAACGGTTATCCAGCGATGTGTTAGCTCTATCACGGTCGGCGGATCCTGACTTTTCGGGACTTTTAGCTGTTGATCTCTACGTTACTAATCTTTGCATTTTGCATGTGACGCTCCTGTGCTGAGCTAAAGAGAGTTCGGATAAGGCGTTCGCGTTTGGGCTTGCAATAATATTGAATGTCAACAGTAAATAATTATATTTGCGCGTGGATAAGGAAAAATGTCTCTTTACTTTACTTATGGCATTATATGAGTTCCGTGTTATGACTTTCCCGACGATTGCCCGATGATCTAAGCAGTCTGACTTTGTACACGAAGAACCAAAAGTCTCGACAACTCGAGCCTAATCTCTAACGTCTAATCTATCATCACCGAGCTTTTCATTTCTCGATTTCTTATGCCACCAACCTGCTGTCATATTGTGATTCGTAACTGGAACTTTCCTGGCCTTCAGAAGGCTGGGGAGTTAGTGTCCTTTCCGGGTCGGAGCTATTAGAGGTTTGAGGCTGATTCGACTCGGACAGCTCCGACTTGATTTGAAGAAGCTCGAAGAGTTCTTTCAACGGTATGAGCTCTGTCGACTGAAGAAAGGGAATTTTTGGTTGTATCAAGATTTTATCCAACATTTCGGTCATCCGAGGTATTTTCCGAGTTCGAGATTACGGGACTACAGACGAATATATTTTATGCCCTTTCCGAGTAATTCAACCTGCGAAAACCGCCGCGTATTCTTTAAGGTCTACGTCGTAAAGTAGTACCGGTATCAGTGCCTCCCCGTTGTACAGAAACTCCAACAGGTGATTCAACTGAGTCTTTCGGACGCCGGACAAATGAACCACGTGGTCCAGGGCAGGATTCCGAAGTAGACTAGCTAAGAGAGGACTGGCTGCTGCCAAAACGACGCGATGGGCCTTCACAACGGACCCATCGTCGCATGCTAGGGTCACGTCCACGTGACGATCCCCGCTGTACCAGGCCCCGACCTCTGCGGCCAAGGTCGCTGGATGTTTCCCATAGTGGAGTGTCAAGAGACCGTCAGTATACATCGTCTGAAAGAAGAATTCGGAAGAGTAATCGCATTTTTCATTCGTCGAACAATCCAAGTCCCGCGCACGGAGGAGGCAAATTTTGCTGGAGCAGCGAATGTTTGCCGATATAGCAAAAAAGGAATCTGCTCGGACAGCGAAAAATTTGCTTGGACAGCAGGAGGGATCTGTTAGGCGTATTAATTGTCTATATATCCGGCAAATAGCAATTAATACTCTCAACAAATCTTTCCGCCGTCCGAACGAATTTTTTGCTGCCCAAACAAATCCCTTTTCGCTGTCACTATATTCACAAACATTCGCTGTTCCAGCAAAATTTGCTCTCTCCGTGTGGCTCAGGACGCATCGTTGAGGGAAGAAATAAGAAGCAGCGAAACAGATACGAAGGAATGTAACGATAAACGGTGTTTATAATTTTCTTGAAATTTTGCGGACAAATCGGTGGGAAAATTCGCAAACGAAAATTACACACACGTGTGCAGTGTGACCCTCGCACACCCCGTAGGCGCATCTTGTACCTTTGCGGTGAATTGACGGACGGCCGCAAATTTATTATAGTAAAGAGAAGAAAATGGGGCATGCGGTTATGAGCAAAATTATGTAGTAAAACAGTGTATCCCGCGTCCTTAACCCAACAAATGGTCGTTCGTCGCCTTGCGTGATGCGAAGACAGCTTCGTTACACTAATTTCCTCCTTTCGTGTCTCGGCTGTCTTAGAAACGACGGAAGAGACTGACGTGTCACAAGATCATGTTTCTCACGTTTCTCTCTTACATCTACGCAGCTCTCGGCTGACCGTGTCGAGCCGTGTTTAACGGCGCGCTATGTCAATTATCCAGTTAGACAGCCTAAACACGCATTTACTTCGACTAATGTCTTTAATTCCAAATCGGCTATCCTTCAAAATTTACCTACGCAAGTGCAAACCTCAGGAAATTACAGTCCCTTCATTTCGTACAAATAATGAGGCAGAAGTTTTGTAAAAAAAAAAAGATATGTCTTGTGCCTTTAAGCGTAAATTAAATCGCTTCGCACGTGACATTTTCACGAGTTGATCGGCGGCGCAATAAGTAATCCCGTCTCCGCTTTTCTTCGATTTTTCTCTTCTCTCGGTATTTACAATAAAACAAGTCTAAAATTCGGCAGGAATTTTGCAGCCGAGGTTCAAAAGGCAAATGATTGATGAACGTCCGGCATTATTGACGATCCCGCTAATCACACCGGCTGTCGGGGAAACATCCTGTCGGCCAATTGAATGTAATTCTCCTCTGATTAACTCTCATCTCGGGAACAACATTGGTACGGTTACACAGCACGGTAACTCGTAAATGGGGATCGTTAAAAAGTATTCGATCGGCACAATACGTACGTATATAAGCAAGAAATATTCCATTGATCCGTGTCTAAGATTCGCAACAGTTTAACGCGGCCACGGCTGAGAATCGAGAATTAACGGCTGATCGAGCATTCCTTCGGTTTCTCAAGGGGAGCCGAGAGAGAGAAAGTCCGGTTTCACGTTATATTCTCAAGGAGCTGAAGTATAATCAATATTATGAAACCAATGCCGTAAGCATCGACAAGTTCCGCAATGTCAAATGTGTCCCCCCCTCCCCGTTCGTACGAACGTATAATCGAACGTTATAAGACTGAAAATATCCTAACGATTACTCCAAGTTTTCTTTCTTTGCGATAAGTCCGAACGAGGCAACGACACACGATATGAAGTACAGAAGGCTCCATTAATGCTGTCTCATTTCCTAAGCACCGTGACGGATCGGAAATTTCCAATTGGCCGTGTAATCGCCGAATATTCGGGCATCGTGCACCGTTCCGGAGAAACGGCATCGTTGCCGGCTCGCAGAATAATTAACAATTATGTCGCATGAATATTCAAAAACGATAGACCTAATTGAAGATTTCCGATGTAATTATGCCTACAGTTCCCGGCTGTATTATTAGACGCATTTTCTTTACTCGATTGGAATAATTTTCGGTGTCGATTCAGCACTTTCACCTCTGCAATCTTCCGAGATGTCAAATCGCTCGTTTTACCCATCATTTTTGCAAGCGATATTCATATTTCTCGCGCAGAAATTTATTTTCCCGTTAGTCAAGCGAGGAACTTCGAGTTTCGAGTCGCGGATAAGCGAAGGTAAAACGAAATTTCAATTGGCACAAAACTCACGTCCGTTCTCGTTATTATCGGCAATGCAATTAACGCGGATTCATACTTGTTCAAGGTCATCGTAACAGCTAAGTGAAATGACGTCATAAAAAATACCTTTTATAGAGCAACGGTTCCTTGACACAATTCGATCGGTAGATGAGCCGTATTGCGTAAAGCTGGTCCTCGGAAGTGAATGAATTGTAAAAAATTCAGGTGAGTCTAATAATGCGGCCGGGGAAGTAAGTGGGACAGCATTAATGGACGGTCTTCTGTACCGTCATATTTATTAATATTTGCAGTACAGTTTCCGGCTTAATTGGCATTAGGGCGATGCGCAAACATCGTGTGTATCATAAACGATTAATCGTATCGCCGGTTACACATATAAATGTTCAATCAGATCCCATAACAGCAAAGTAGTTGACGCTGTGGCGTGATTTAAGAGCATCTCACGCTCGCTGCCGTGACCTTGGGACGGATAGCCCGATCGAATTCGAAAGGGAAGACCTTGGGTAAGAGTCACGAAAAAGGTGCTAATACCATCGTGGAATGATAAATCATCGAAAGTAGCGCGACCGGCTCTCCGACTTCGACGTTAAGTACGCATACATTTCATTCGCCAGTTGAATCGCCGTTTTTTACTCACTGGTAAGGTGAGTATATGTCGAGCGAACGGCGAATATATGCGATATATTTGCGTCTAAACGCGCGCGAGCTTTCTTCGATAAGCCATCTCACGAGGAAATCGGCACGAAACTTTCCGCTCGGATTCATTACGGCGCAAACATTCTCCAAATTGTACCTGCAGAATCAAAGTGCTAGAATCAAATGAGCTTAGCGACTACTTGTTTCCTCAGTCTCTTCAATCGTGCGATATTTTTATCGATATTTATGTGTGTGTTTTAATTTACATATAAATTACCGAATATAAGTGTAAAATGGTGTTCTGCATTTTATTCACCAGGATTATGCGATACTTCTTTTCCATCGAAGAAACTCAGCGGTTTTAAACTTCGATTTTTCAATAAATACTTTCGAAAAATAAATCCACCCAACTAAGAGTAATATAATATCAATGTGCTGATTTCTCGCTTAACAATGCAATTGTTACATAACACACGCTTTGTATTGCACTTACACCGTTGAGTGGGAAATTATGACATTGATGTTACATTAATGTTAGTGACGTTTGCTGGATACGTACACGAAGAAAATATCGTATACTGTCCACGGTCAATTATACTTCTACTTCTAGCATTCGCCAAGGAACACTGGAGTAACCATTTTACCCGGATCAAGCAAATATTGAATTTTGAATACCACCGGTTTGCTTTTGTCTTTCAATAAAACAAGAAAAAAATTCGCACTTCGCTCCTCGTTCGCGCCTTCTCGTACACCCGGACCGAAAAAGTGGATCCAAGTAAATAATTACTCCGATACTCGTCGGCGAATTTCTCCTTGAATCGAGCGACATTTACCTTATCCTTCGTACTTTCCGAAGTAAATCCGTCCGGGTAAAAAGATTCACTCGATCCCGGTCGAGTCTACTTAATCCGAGTGAAAATTCGCCGACGGAGTATCGGAGTGTTTACTCGCGATCACGAGCGCTCCTTCGTTCCGTGCGCCCGGTTTTCGCGGAACGTCACCTAAGAACGAATTCCCGGCGCATTAGACGCCGGCGTAGCGCGCGTTGCGCAACTGGAAAAATTTGCATCCGCTCGCTCCGCGCTTGCATAAGACAATCATTTCGCTGAAATCGCCTCGCGAGCGAGATGGATCCGCCGCGTCAAACGTCGCGCCGTACGCGCGCGAATCGTTCGCCGATCTGCGGACCGGAAGCGACGAGATCAAGCCGCAAAGGGATGAAAGGAGAACCCGGCGGCCCGGAACATCGTCCCTTCCTTCCCTTCGCCGGACGAGTCGCGCGTGATAAGGCAGACAGAGGGACGTTCATTTCGCAACGGGCCTTTTGCGAGACGCGAGCGCCGCGTTGCGCCGCCGCGAGCGGACAGACGTCCCAGTAAGCGGGAAACGTTCGCTCGATCTTCCGAAACATTGATTTTACGCCGGATTTTACAAACATTTTCACATCACATTTTACCAACCTTTCCAAACCGTTACAATGTAACCTTGATTACATAAATCACATTCTTGAATATTAACATCATATTGTAAATATTCATTTGATGATCTTTGCGTCAAGTGATCATTGTTAACAATGGCATTGCGTGCAACATTAAGAACTGCGTATTTGAAAACGTCACGTGTTACGAAACGATCGTTGTAACAGCGCTGTGTTGATTTCTTGCTTACTGGGGTGCCGGCGGGGCGGGCGAGAATTATCATCCGCGAAGAGAGAGAGAGAGAGAGAGAGAGAGGAGCGCGATTTGAAGCGATCTGAAAGATCTAAAAAAAGAAGGAGGGAGTCCTTCGCTTACGGGTGAGAGTCGCGGCGTTCGCTCGTTCGCATGCGTAATGCGAATCGGCGTGATCGCGAAGAAATCGCTAAATAAGGGAATCATTGCTGCGCAGGTGCGCCAGCCGTTGCAGCTGCCGTTGCTGCTGCTGTTGCTGGTAACGCGAGTAAACACAACGGCTGAAGTTCAGGGTCGTACCGGACGACCGGCCGGATTACGTTGCGCGCTTACGCGCTCACGTTCTTCTTTCTTCTTCTATTTGGACCTTGAGAAGTTGCCGGGCGGGGCAACTCGTGCCGCTCGTTACCTGGTGGGGCTCGCGTGCAGCGCGCGCGTGGGAAGCCCCACCGAGGAAGCGGGGATCCCCCCCTGCCGCCGGAAAGCCTGTCGTACCGGCCGAGCAAGCGGAGCTTTCGAGC